GGTGTTCCTGGGATGCTGCAGAGCCTGGAGCAGTGTGAGGCAAGGGGAAGTTTCCTGGCAGCTGGGATGGCTCCTGTGCCACACACAGCCTGGGGGTAGGTGAGCAGTGCCTGCTCTCCACTGAAACAACATCCAGCTCTTCATCCTCACCAACTCCAGCTCCAAATTCCAACTGCAGCCCGACCAAAGTGCCGACAGTTTCAGTGGAAGTGGCTTAAATGGGTATTTAAAAACAACAACAAAACAAAGAAAACCCACTTCTGTTTGTTTTTGAAGCAGATTTTTTTCCTCATCGCTTGAGTAACTGGGGAGGTGTTTACTAAGCCTTTGCTAAGGGCGTTGCAGTCCTCGCTCCCCAGGGCCCCAGGGGTTCCTTAGGAGACGCTGGAGCAGCGGATGCTGGGGGAGCCCATCTGTGTCAGGACCTTGTCCAGCCACTGCAGGGGCCCGTTGAGGTGCAGCTCGATCCAGCAGGGAGTGCTGGTCACCGTCTGCCTCCTGCCAGGGAGAGCACACAACACCACCGTGACTGACAGACCTCAGCAAACACAACAGGCTTCCCAGCTCCTGAGCTGCCTCCACAGCCCCCTGGCCAAAGGAGTGGCTCCCCTCTGCCTCAGCCTCTGCCCTGCGCTGCTCATTTCTTTTAAAAACCCACCCTGTCCCTCTGTATTTGTTATGATCCCACAGGAGCAGCTTGCTATTTACTGCTCAGATTCCTGGGAACAGGCAGCTGATTCCCTGAAAGGAAAGAAGGTGTTGATCTAAGCAAAACCCATTTTTCCTTTGCAGACCTTTCCTAGTTAGACACCAAGGTCTGTGTTCACCAAGTATGTTCAGTTTCCCTATGCACAAGACAAGGATATTCACTTTTCACTGCACCCTTGGGTTTTAGTACAGTGTGGAAGTGCTGGGAGGAGCTCACCCCAAGCCCTGCAGACCCTTCCTGCACCCATGGGCCCTGCTGGGCCGGGGCTCAGCTGCTCTGACCTTCCCCTGCACAAATCCCTGTTCCCCTCCTGTCGCTCTCCCTGAGCCCAGACCCCACAGGTATGTCCAGAAGGCAAAGCACAGAGATGGGGAGCAAAAGAAGGAAAGGGAGACCAAGACATGGAGCCAGGGGCTCCCCCTCCTCTGCTGAGGCATGGCCGAGGTCTTGTTCCAGGCAGGGACAGCTGCTGTGGAGGAGGGAGATTACAAAGCAGGACAAACAGCCTCACCTTACAGCCCCACTTCCCACAGAAGCTGCCCTTGGAATCTGGTGATGGGAGGGAGAACCTGAAATCTGGGGGACCAGGGACAGCCAGAGGTGAAAAGGGGACTGACCCTGTGCTTGGGGGGCTGCCCTGAGCTCCCACCACCATCCCTGTCCCCCTTCCCTGCACCAGATCCCTGGCACAGAGGAGCACTGAACACCCCCATCACTGCTCAAAGGTGAACCAGGGATCAGGGAATGGCCCTCTGGGTGCTCCACAGACCATGTCCATCTCTGCATCAGATGGAGAGCTCTGTGCCAGGGAGAGCAGGATGGGCAGAGCAGCCCTGCCCTGCAGGGATCCCTGCCTTTCCGTAAGTCATGCTCCTCTGCAGCTCATTAGGGCCTGGCTGGGAGCCAACCCTGCGCTGCTCTGGCCCCAGCTCAGGACGGTTTCAAAACAAAATGGACTCCAAACATCTGGAGAAATGAAGAAAGTGGCAGAGCAACGTGCAGGGCCTGGGCCCCAGCTGCTCCTGAGGCCTCTCCCCCTCCTGCAGCAGAGCAGCCCCCGAATGGCAGCGACCCCACGGAGCTTTGAGTGGGGCCACAGCTTGAAAGGATGCAGAGTCCAGTGTTTCCACATCACCCTGGGCTTAAACCCTCACCAGCTTTCCATCTCAGAAAACAACACCCATTTGCCACTGAATTGCATTTCCCCTGCTTGTACCATCCATCCCTGATTGCTCTCCCCTTGATGTGCACTGGCAGCTCTGCAGGGCTC